TCCCACTGTCCCAGGCTGCTCCAAGCCCCATCCAGGCTGATCTTGGACACTTCCAGGGATCCAGGGGCAGCCACAGCTTCTCCAGGCACCTGTGCCAGGGTCTCCCACCCTCACAGGGAGGAATTCCTTCCCAATATCCCATCTAACCCTGCCCTCTGGCAGTGGGAGCCATTCCCCCTTGTCCTGTCCCTTCTGTCCCTTATCCAAAGTGCAGAGCCCCTCTAGGCAATGGAAGGAGCTCTGGGGTCTCCCTGGAGCCTTTACTTCTCTAATCTGAACATCCCCAGCTCTCCCAGCCTGTCTCCAGAGCAGAGGGGCTGTAGCCCCTGGATCATCTCTGTGGCCTCCCCTGGACTCACTCCAGCAGCTCCTTGTCCTCCCTGTGCTGGGACCCCAGAGCTGGAGGGAGCTCTGCAGGGGAGGGTCTCAGCAGAGCAGAGGGGCAGAATCCCCCCATCACACGCTGCCCATGCTGCTGGGGATGAGCCCAGGACAGTGTTGGCTTTCTGGGCCCAGTGCACACACTCAGTTCCCATCAAACACATCTCGGTGGCTTTACTCCTTCCCAAGGAACTCATTCCAGATTGAGGAGCTCATTCCAGACTGAGGAACACGTTCCAGACTGAGGAATTAATTCCAGACTGAGGAACTCCTTCTAGACTGAGGATCTTGTTCCAGACTGAGGAGCTCGTTCCAGACTGAGGAATTCATTCCAGACTGAGGAGCTCGTTCCAGACTGAGGAATTAATTCCAGACTGAGGAGCTCGTTCCAGACTGAGGAATTAATTCCAGACTGAGGAGCTCGTTCCAGACTCAGGAGCTCCTTCCAGACTGAGGAGCTCGTTCCAGACTGAGGAATTCATTCCAGACTGAGGAGCTCGTTCCAGACTCAGGAGCTTGTTCCAGACTCAGGAGCTCGTTCCAGACTGAGGAATTCATTCCAGACTCAGGAGCTCGTTCCAGACTCAGGAGCTCCCCAGGCACGCAGCTGGTGAGACAGTGACCAATGGAAACAGCCCACGGGGACCCGAACCGCCCCACGCTGCAGCCCCGGGATGCCCCAAAGCCTCGCACCCCCTGGAACCCCCATTTCCAGCCTCCTCCGCCGCGGTGATTGACAGCTGTCAATCAGCACGGCGCCGCGCTGCGCTCTGCTGCCACCTGGCGGCCGCTGCGGGGAAACGCATCCACCGCGACCCCCCAGCGCCCCGAACCGGGACCGGCACCGGCAGAAACCCGGCCTGGAACTGACTATAGGAACTAAACCCGGCCTGGAATTTGTTACAGGAGCTAAACCCGGCCTGGAATTTGGGAAAGGAAATAAACCTGGCTTTAAGTTTGTTACAGGAACTAAACCCAGCCTAGAATTTGTTAAAGGGAATAAACCTGACCTAGAATTTGTTACAGGAACTAAACCCGGCCTATAATTTGTTATAGGAAATAAACCCAGCCTAGAATATGTTATAGGAAATAAACCCAGCCTAGAATTTGTTATAGGAAATAAACCCAGCCTAGAATTTGTTACAGGAAATAAACCCGGCTTTGAATCTGTTACAGGAAATAAACCCGGCCTAGAATTCGTTACAGGAACTAAACCCGGCATTGAATTTGTTAAAGGGAATAAACCCAGCCTAGAATTTGTGAAATAAAATAAACCCGGCTTTGAATCTGTTACAGGAAATAAACCCAGCCTAGAATTTGTTAGAGAAAATAAACCCAGCCTAGAATTTGTTACAGGAAATAAACCCGGCTTTGAGTTTGTTAAAGGAAATAAACCCAGCTTTGAGTTTGTTAAAATCAATAAAGCAGCGGGCTGGACCAGGCAGGGATGTCCCCCTGCACGGCTCTTGCAGGGACAAGGTGATTGTTGTGGAGTGACCCCTCGGCCCGGCTCGGCTGCAGTCACGGATTTTGGAGGGTGGGATTTTGGAGGGTGGGATTTTGGAGGGTGGGATTTTTGAGGCTGGGATTTTTGAGGCTGGAGGAGGCCTCTGAGCTCATGGAGCCCAGCTGTTCCCCCAGCACAGCCAAGGCCACCAAAGCAAGCCCCACGTGCCACGTCCAAGGGTCTGTTGAATCCCTCCAGGGACAGTGACACCACCACAGCACTGGGAAGCTGGGCCGGTGCCTGACTGGCCTTTCCAAGAGGGAATTTTCCCAAAATCCCACCTAAAACTGCCCTGGTGCAGCCTGAGGCCATTTTCTCTGCTCCTGTCCCTGTTCCCTGGAGCAGAGCCCGACCCCCCTGGCTGTCCCCTCCTGTGCAGAGCCACAAGGTCCCCCCCGAGCCCCCTTTTCTCCAGGCTGAGCCCCCCCAGCTCTTTCAGGCACTGCAGCCCCTTCCCCAGCTCTGTTCCCCCCTCTGGACACTCTCCAGCCCCTCAGTCTCTTTCTGGTCACGAGGGGCCCAAAACTGAATCCAGGATTTGGGGTGAGGGTCCCAGGAGGTCCCTGCTGCCCCTCCTGACAGCATTCCTGGGCACATCCTGAATCCAGAGGTGCCCAGCCAGGCTGTGCCACAGGGACCCCACCCCAGAGCCCCCTCCTCAGATCCCTCCCTTGGCATCCTCACAGAAATCCACCTCCAGCTGCAGGGGCAGGGGCAGCCCAGGGGCAGCTCCAACCCATCCAGGAAAAGCTTTGGGTTGGAGAGGCAGTGCCTGACCTGCAGGGGGGCTGAGAGTGCCTGAGGGACCCTCACTGTGGGGTGTGGGGGGTGTCCACCCCTGCCCGAGGGGCTGAAACCAGAAACTGCGTGGTGGGAATCACCATCTGCACCAGGAGCATCCCAGGGGTGCCAGGAGCATCCCAGGGGAGCCAAAGACATCCCAGGGGAGCCAGGAGCAACCCAGTCCATCAAAGAGCATCCCAGGGGAGTCAGGAGCATCCCAGAACATCAAAGAGCATCCCAGGGGAGCCAGGAGCATCCCAGGAGAGCCAGGAGGATCCCAGGGGAATCAGGAGCATCCCAGGGGAGCCAAAGGCATCCCAGGGGAGCCAGGAGCATCCCAGGGGTGCCAGGAGCATCCCAGGGGAGCCAAAGACATCCCAGGGGAGCCAGGAGCAACCCAGTCCATCAAAGAGCATCCCAGGGGAGTCAGGAGCATCCCAGGGTCATCAAAGAGCATTAAGAGCATCCCAGGAGAGCCTGGAGCATCCCAGGGGAATCAGGAGCATCCCAGGGGAGCCAGGAGCATCCCAGGACAGCCACCCTGCCTTGGGGCAGCCTCTCCACCGAGCCAGGGGTGCCCTGGCCCTCAGCCTGGCTGGGCCCTTCCCAGCCAGGGGACAGGGACAGGATCTGGGAACCCCTGGGCAGGACAGCGGGGTCACCCCTGCTCCTGCATCCCTGCAGCTGCTCCAGCTGGGTCCTGATGTCACCCTGAGTTTTTAAGATTTTCTAAACCTTCTAATATTTACATTTTTATAACACACTTTCTCACACTCTTTCTGTAAATAACTTATTGTTTTGTGTTCTTGTATAGGAAAAAAGAAAAATTGAATAAACTGTTGGTTTGTCCAGTGTCATTGGAGAGGTGGCACTTTCACCCTCCGACCCACTGTCCCTTTTAAAAATCTATAAATGTCAAAATGAAAAAAATAAACTACCCTCTTTACCTTAAAAACAACAGCGTGTTCACATCATGGGTTTTTGTGTCTTACAGTAACATCCACTGCTGTGAGCTCCTGCCCACGTGGCAGTGGGGACAGCAGTGTCACCTGAAGCCACCGAGAGCAGGTGACATCCCCTCTCAGCAGGAGCTGGAGCTGGAGCCCTGCCACGTAGAGAGCAGGAAAGAAAGAGCCAGAGGCGTGGAAAATTATCAGAAACGTGTATTTTTTTTTCTTTTTAATAGTAAACCTCTTTACAACAAATATAGTGAAAGAGTTTCCAAACAAAACTCATAAGAATTTCTCATGGTAATTATTATTATTATCATCATCATTTTTTTTTAATATATTTTTTTTCCTTATTGTGGAATATACAATAACGCATCACCATACAGCACAAAAAAAGGAATATTGAAAAAACGAAATAGACGTCTCAACCACGTGCTGCAGTCCCTGGGAAGGAGCCACTGATTGTCAAGGGAGCAAGGGAGGGACGGAGCGGGGACAGGGAGTGGGGATGGCGACCCCAGGGCGCGGGAGGTTCTCAGCCAGGCCAGACCCCGAGGCTGCGAACGCTTCAAAGATGGAATCAGCCGCAGATCCCGGTTAAAACATGGCAAAGTCTCGATACAAACCCTCCCTCCCCTCCCTGCGCTGCTGCCGGGCTCCGGGGGAGCCGCACCCGGGAGGAGATGCTCCGGTCCCGGTGCTCCGGCTGCTGCTGCCCCGAGCTGCCCGCCCTGGTGCCCAACCCCTTGACTCGCACACACACACACACCCACACACACGGCTGGAGGAGCAGCAGGAAAAAAAAAAAAAAAAAAGAGGTTAAAAATATATATATATTTATATATATATTATAGATACAGTTTCTCTTTTTTTTTTCTTTTTTTTTTCGTTTTTTTTTTTTTTCTTCCCTTTTAAATTGCTTCTCAAAACAATAAATAAAACTCCTCGGGGGAAGTGCCACGTCCTGGTTTGTTTCTACCTGTGCAGCACCCTGGGGGAGGATGCAGAGCTGCCTGTGCTGGGCTGAGCGGGGACATCCAACGAACCATCACACAGAGAAGCTGACAGGGGGCATCCATGATTTTTAACCTTTTTTTTTTTTCTTTTAGTGCATCATTTAAAGGGTCTATTCTATTTTACAAAAGTTTTTGCAGACACCCCAGAGTTTGCTAACACCTACCTGCTGAACTGAGCAAAGGGGACGGGGGAGAACCAGGACCTGCCCCGGGGGCTGCAGGGGACAGGACAGGGAGCAGCAGCTGGGCCACGATGGTCCCCGCTTCTCCAGCATCTGATTTGCCTGCAAATGCTTGGGAAGAGCCCTGGGGAGGAGGGGAGTCGTGGCCCAGGGTGGGCTGCTTCACCCCTCGGCCTTGGGGATGCCAGGAGCCCGTGGGGACGTGCCAGCGTGGTCTCAGGAGAGCATCTGGGGACGTTCCTACGGCTCTGAGGTGGGTCCAGGCCTGGAGAGCGAGGAGCTGGGCCAGTCTCAGTGGCACCAGCACGAAAACCTCGCTCTGAAAGCCCATCTGAAGGGAAGAAATGCTTTTCTGACCCCCAGCACAACGCTGGGGTTCCCCCTGGCCCGGGGTGGATGTGGGGGGCTGGGGGGAGGCACAGCCAGGGATGGGGACATTGCCAATCCCTCAGTTCTGAAAACCTTCCCAGGGATGGGGACATTGCCAATCCCTCAGTTCTAAAAACCTTCCCAGGGATGGGGAAATTGTCAATCCCTCAGTTCCAAACACCTTCCCAGAGATGGGGATATTGCCAATCCCTCAGTTCCAAAAAACCTTCCCATTCTAGGGGAAATTATCAATCCCTCAGTTCCAAAAACCTTACCAGGGTGAGGGGATATAGTCAATCCCTCAGTTCAAAAAAACCTTCCCAACCTAGGGGAAATTGTCAATCCCTCAGTTCCAAAAACCTTCCCAGGGTGAAGGGATATTGCAAATCCCTCAGTACCCAAAAAACCTGCCCAGTCTGGGGAATATTGCAAATCCCTCAGTTCCTGCAAACCTTCCCAGCCTGGGGGATATTGTCAATCCTCAGTCCCCAAAACTTTCCCATCCTAGGGGATATTGCAAATCCCTCAGTTCCTGAAAACTTTCCCATCCTAGGGGATGTTGTCAATCCTCAGTCCCCAAAACCTTCCCAGCCTGGGGGACATTGTCAATCCTGTCCCCAAAACCTTCCCAGCCTAGGGGACATTGCCAATCCTGTCCCCAGGACCTCCCCAGCCCGGCTGGAGCCGGTCCTGGCGCAGCCCGAGCCACACCACCCTCCTCTGGCCCAAGCCGAGCACGTTCCAGAGAACGGAGCTGGGCAGGAAGGAGCTGGGCAGGAGCCGGGCTTTCCCCTGGCCAGGGAGAAGAGGGGAGCCAGAACGAGCTCCAGGGTCCCCATTCCTCCCGGAGTGGCAGAGATCCAGAGCATCCCTGCACAGCCCGCTCCTCCAAGGCTCGCTAAATCACCCCCGGGGGCTGCTGACCCCCCGGAGCCAGGGGGACACGCCGGCGTGTTGGGAACCCTGTGGAAAAGCAGCCCTGGAAGTGCCCGTTGCCAAGGGGCTGCTCCTGCCCAGGGTCTGGGACATGGAAATTTGGGGAGCAGGGAGCCCGGGGAGGGGTGCACGGGAAGAGCCAAGAGGGTTAAACAAGAAATCGCTGTACAACTCGGCCATGTCCAAAGTCAGTATTATTACAATATACTCTGACAAAAATATAATCTCATTTCATATCAACAAAAAAAAAAAAAAACAAACCAAACAAACGAACAAACAAAAAAAAAAAACAAACCAGTTTTCTGTACTGTTACCATTGCTAACAGATTGAAACTCGCTATTTACAGTTACAGTAGCCAGGTAAAATACTACAGGTGAGAGACCAGAGAGAGGAGGGGCAGAGGGACAGAAGGGAGAGAAAATCACCAGGGAAAGGGGAAAATAAAGGGGGAAAGGCCCTCTTACACCCCGAGTGTGGCTTCCTGCATTGGACAAGGAAGGGTGGTGGATGGAGGTAGTGAAAACATAATACTTGGTTTATGGGTGTGGTTGGGGTTTTTTGTGGAAAGGAAAACTGAAAAAAAAAATTAATAAAAGTGAAGTGAGAGGGAAAGGTGGAATAAAAGGATGAACACGGGAAAGGGAAACCAGAGCAAACCTTCAGCTGAAGCCCACTGTTAGACACTCTCCCACAGCTCAGGGAGAGGTGGATGGGGATGAATTTTCACCACTTTGGGTGGTGAAAATCCCCCAAACTTCCCCAAATTGTGCCCCCAGCTGGAGAGAAGGGAGGCAGGACGGCAGAGCTAAGGAGTGGCTGGGAAGATGCTCCATCCCCACCGGAGGGATGCTCTCCCTAGGAGGGCAGAGGGGACCCCCAGAGCACCAAGTGCCCCTCAGCCCCAGCCAAGCTCTGGGCTGGCAGCAGCAGCTCACAGCCTTGTCCCCAGAACTGGTGACAAACATCCCAATTCAGGCCCAAAGTGATGGGGGAAATCCTCCAGCCAAGCAACACAAGGGGAGAAAAAAGTGTAAGAAGTGAAATTTTCAAGGAAAATGTGGGGGTTTTTGTAAATTTGCTTTTTCCTTGGTTTGCTGAAATTATTCTGGAGAGGAAGAGGGAAGTGAAAAAGGGAGATGGAAAAGGAAACGTGTTCTTTCTCTTTGCCCCAGTTTAGCCCAGGCCCACACGTGGCCCATCACCACCAGCTCTGGATTTAACACTTCCACTGCCCCCAGACCCCAACCCTGGCAGGGGCCTCAAACACCGCAGAGCAACAACCCCCTCCCCAAGGGACCCCCGGAGTCTCCCTGCCACAACCACAACCCCCGTGGGGGCTCGGGTGCTCCTGCCAGCACCACAACCACTGCCAGCGTGCCCCCAGCACCAAGCCCTTCACCCAAACCTCCTGCACAGGCAGGCTCCCTGCCACCCCCAAAACACCCCTAGAGCAGGGGTCACCCTGTCCTCGTGCTGACCGCCCGAACCCAGCTGACTGCCTGATTCCAGCTGACCATCCAAGCCCAGCTGACCATCCAAGCCCAGCTGACCATGTAATTCCAGCTGACCATGTAACTCCAGCTGACCATCCAAGCCCAGCTGACCATGCAATTCCAGCTGACCACGTAACTCCAGCTGATCATCCAACCTCAGCTGACCACCTGAACTCAGCAGACCATCCAAGCCCAGCTGACCATCCAACCTCAGCTGACCATCCAAGCCCAGCTGACCACCTGAACCCAGCTGACCATCTAACCTCAGCTGACCACCCAACCCCAGCTGACCACCTGAACTCAGCAGACCATGTAACTCCAGCTGACCACCTGAACCCAGCTGACCACCTGAACCCAGCTGACCATCCAGCCCAGCTGACCATCTAACCTCAGCTGACCACCCAACCCCAGCTGACCACCTGAACTCAGCTGACCATGTAACCCCAGCTGACCACCTGAACCCAGCTGACCACCTGAACACAGCTGACCATCCAACCTCAGCTGACCATCCAAGCCCAGCTGACCACCTGAACCCAGCTGACCATCTAACCTCAGCTGACCACCCAACCCCAGCTGACCACCTGAACTCAGCAGACCATGTAACTCCAGCTGACCACCTGAACCCAGCTGACCATCCAGCCCAGCTGACCATCTAACCTCAGCTGACCACCCAACCCCAGCTGACCACGTCCACAGCCCCCAGAGCGGGCAGGACCATCTCCACTGATCCATCACCATCCTCACTGCTCCCAGGCAGTATTTTAGGCCCCTTTTAGTGCCCTTCCCACTATTTTGGGTTCTATCCATCATTTAGGGTCCTGCTCCATCCCCAAATCTCCTCCAGGGCTGGGCAGGTGACTTCCCACCCCATCCTGCTCCTACAGCTGCCGGCAGCAGCGTCACCTGAGCCACACCCTGTGACCTTCCTCCATCCTTCCTTCCTTCCTTCCATCCTCCTCCTCTCTGCACCAAACCTGGCCATGCCAGCACACACTGGGCACAGCTCCAGGGGAGGAACCCCCCGCTCTGCCCCTGCCCTCACCAGGCTGCTCCTGGCACCAGCCCACCCCAGCCAGCCCCGCAGCGGCACAGACACCCCAAAAACCAGCACGGACACCCCAAAAAACAGCTTTGCCAGGCCCTGGGAAAGACCAGCCTTCCCAGGCCGAGGGTCACAGCCCCCACATGTGCCAGCCCCCCGGCTCAGCCCCCTGGCACCCCTGGCACCCCGCGGGGAGGGGGCCGTGCCGCTGCCCCCACCCCGCCTTACCTGCGCTCAGGTGCGGGCTGGAGGATCCACAGAGAGTTTAGAAGGTAAAGATCAGAAACAGACTTTGGTAAGTAACCACACGTTTAGAAAGGAATATATCAGTTTGGAAACATCTCAGTGCATACTTCTTATATGAAAATATACACAAATGTATTTCATTCTCCAAAAAAGGAACAATTAAAAACAAAAGCAAACTAGCCCAAACACAATATATTAGCTGTTTTTTTGTTGGTTTTTTTCTTTTTTTCTTGTTGTTGTCATCCTTTAAAATCTTTAACGCTACACTTTGTTCAGGTTACACTTTTTTTGTCTTTTTTTTTTTTTTTGTAAATGTTTTTTTTTTCTTCATGCATTTTACACCTTTATAGCCTTTGAGAATAAATAAGCTCCATTTTGCTTCCACATCTCTAAAAACTGCAGCATTTTAACTATTGTCATTTAAATCGTGCAATTTTTTTTTTGCAACACCCCTTTTTAAAAAATGGAAAATATATATATATTTTAAAACTAAACCCTATACAACGCAAAAATTCCAAATTAAAAAAAAAATTATACACAATTGTAACTGTCAACAGTACAGATGAGCACGAGAAATAAAATTAGATCAGAAACATATTTATAGAAGCACAAAGGAGGGTGTTGGTTTCTTAGATTGTCATTCTTCTCGTTGTCTTTTGAAAATTAGGAGGAGTTTACCAGATACTACAGTCTGGAGGGGGAAATAAAGGATAATGACCCGGACAAAAAAAAAAAAGAATATAATAATAAAATAACCCCAAGCCCCCAACAAAGTAAAGACCCCGACAAACAGCCCCCAAACCCTTTTCACTGCGACGTGAAGCCAACGCCATGTCTGGCCCGGGCACCCCTGCCTCCCCACGAGCCCGTGGCACCAGCCCAGAGCTGTACCTGCCCATGCCACCAGCCCAGGGCTGTACCTGCCTGTGGCACCAGCCCAGGGCTGTACCTGGCTATGGCACCAGCCCAGGGCTGTACCTGGCCATGCCACCAGCCCAGGGCTGTACTTGCCCCTGGCACCAGCCCAGGGCTGTACCTGCCCGTGCCATCAGCCCAGAGCTGTGCCTGCCCCTGGCACCAGCTCAGAGCTGTACCTGGCCATGCCACCAGCTCAGAGCTGTACCTGCCTGTGCCACCAGCCTAGGGCTGTACCTGCCCCTGGCACCAGCTCAGAGCTGTACCTGCCCCTGGCACCAGTCCAGGGCTGTACCTGCCCCTGGCACCAGCCCAGGGATCGTCGAGTGCCGCGGCTGCAGCTCCGCTCCGGCGCCTTCCCCGCCAGGCAGATCTGAACCTGCATCTGCCTAACCCAGCGTTTGTCTCGTTTGTCTCTTGCGTTTTGTGGTTTCCAGCCTCTCAGCTTCCAGGCAGAAGTGTGAACTTGGGAGTCAGGGCATGAAGTTAATGAGCAAAAATGGGGTTTTTTTGGTTTTTTTTCCCCCCCTCCTGACGGTTGCTCCGCACCGACGGCGTCGAGTGCCGGGGGGTCTCCGCTGCCGTCTCCTCGCCGGGGTCTCTGGAGCCAGCTGCTCCGCTGGGCCCTCCTGCCACGCTGCTCCTGGCGGGGCAGACCCCGGTTCGTTGGGTCGAGTTTGTTTTTTGTGAAGAAGAAACAAAATAAAAATACAAAAACGAGAGCGATGAGACGTCATTATCCCGCCTAATTTCCAAAGCAAGGCCGTGCAAAGAGCTCAGGTGCGCGTCCAGGTACGTCCGGCGTGGCCGGGTCGGGGCGTCGGCGCGGGCGAGGAAGACCACGGTCCACAGCATCTCTCCTGCTTCCCCAAGGACTGGCAGGGATGAGGGAGGGAGGCAGATCCGCTTCCGACGCCGACATTCCGGAGGTGAGAGCCGAGCCTGTCCCTGGTACCCGCTGGGTTGGCTTGGGAGGGGACACGGGGGGGTTCAACTGCACAAAACCTGCCAGGGCTCCTTTCCTGCTCTTGCCCACCCAAAGCCTTCCCGGAGCACGGGAACGGGAGAGGGAATTCCAAATTCATGGTTGGAAAAGAATAAAGCCGTCATTTGGGTGGAAAAGCCTTTGTGGCAGGAATGTGGTCTTTCGAGGTCTGGAGGGGGGGTTTGATCTGGCACATCTCTCCACGCCTTGATCCACGAGCAGGGATGTTGGAGAGGGCACCCAGAACGCCGGCACTGCTGAGCACCCACCCTGACCCCTTCACCAGGTGTCCACACAAAACCAGCTCCTAATTTTCACCCAGCTTCGGAAGGATTTCCTCTCCTCCTCCAACCACTCCCTATTCATTGCACAACAATCATCAGCACGTTTTTTTCTTGTTTTTTTCCAATTAGAAACTTTGTGATAAATGCTTGGTTGGGAAAAGTTTGCGAAACCCCTCATCCTGGGACGTTTTTATGCCATCTGCCTCATTCCAAGGCTGAGCTGGCTGCTGACACCCAGCAGAGGGGTCCAGGAGGGGGATAAACCCCACCCTGACTCAGCTCCTCTCCCTTTGCTCTGTCTCAGCTGCCTGAACCCCAGGCAGCTCCCAGCTCCCCCGCAGCCCCCCAAGGCTGGCAAAGGTGGCATCCGGGCAGGTTTTGTGCCAGTTTGGGACTGCGAGCCCAGGGGTGAGGGGGGCTGGGGTGGCCCTGCACAGGGTGATAGGGCAGCAGGCTGGGAGGGGGATGGGGGACCAGCATGAGCACCTGCAGGGAGAAAGCCCATCCCTAATGGCTGTGCCAGCCAGGAACGGTCCCTTCTCCTCCAAACCCTCCAACCATGAGCAGGTTGATGCATTTTGGGATCAGGGCACCAACACCCATCCCTGGGAAACTGCCAGAGCAAGCGGCAACATGAGGAAATTCCTCGGTTTTTCCTTTTTCCTTCCACTAAATCACTGCTCAAGGCTCAAGGAGATTTTCTGCACAGCTCACTATTGCCTTTTGAGGCCTAGAAACCTTCAGGCAAAATCTCATTAGGATCATTACTTCAGTTGCATCTTTCAGTAAAAAAATACTTTCTTCCCAATTTCCTCATTTAAAGCTTTGGCCCAGGTGCAATGGGAACCCATTTCTGAAATGCTTTTATGGACGTTGTTTGCTAAAATCCACAACTTGCTCTCAAAACCAGCACTAAGATGCCCTCTCCACACACCTGCTGTGCCCAGTGGAGGTCAGGGAAACAGGAACTCCAGTGTTCCAGTGAGCCTGGTCAGGAACAGCGGAGTTCCCTGCTCAGGTAGGAAGGATGCTGTCTGCATCCACTTGTCAGGCAAACGGAACTGAGCCTTAAAAATCTGCCTCTTACTCCTGCTGCAGCTTCCCAGGATGCAGGAGCCTCAAGCAGGCTGTGGATGTGGCTGCATCCCCACCTCCCTTCCCAGCTGGTTTAGGAAAACCCTTCTGGAGGAAAACCTGTGCCTACCAAAGCCCTTCAAGCTCCCAGAGAGCTGACTCACGTCTGAACTGCCCCTCCCTGCACAGGGACCCAGGGGAATGGCCAGGAAGGAGCATTTTGGGGTGCTCTGTGCCCCATCTGCCCCCGGAGCCCATCCTGCCACAGGTGCTCTGCCTCAGGGCTACAGTCCCACTTCCCAAGGGGGTCCTGCTGGCCAGCGTGGAGCATCCCTAGGGGCTGCTGGTTTTGGTGAGGACACTGATATCCCACTCCAGCCCCCATTCCCACACCCCGGGCCGCTCCCGAGCGCCGTACGTACTGCATGCGTCGCCTGCTGCGCTAGAATGAATGCCTACAAAATCCTAAAGCTATTTCTCAGGCAGTTTATGATAATTTGCCCCCCCCACCCCACCCCAGCCCCATCCCCATCACCCGTTTTGCCCTCCCCCGCCCCTCCCAGCCCCTCCCGGAGCTCCCAGGGATGGTGGGGACCCGTTATGTGACCCAGGTATCCAACCGCATGCGCTTTACGGAGGGGCTCTCCCCCTCGGGCTCGCTGCTGGGTCGCAGGAGGCCCAGGGAGGAGCCAAAATCGGGGCGGGCAGGGTCGTCCCGCTCGCTGCTGCCCTCGTAGGAGCTGGTGTTGCTGCTGAGGCTGTCGACGGGCGAGCGGCCGGTGGGCTCGTGCCGGGGCTGGTGGGGGAAGGTGCTGAGCGGGGTGGCAGTGTTCCTCTCCCGGTTGGGCGAGACGGGCTCTGACTTGATGCTGATGTTGGGGTTGGTGTTGACAGTCAAAGTGGTGGTGTGGGACAAGTGGCTCCCTTGTCTGGGCATCCCGGAGGGTGGGGGGAAGAGGTTGGGAAAGGAGGAGGAGAGCAGAAGGGGAAGAAGGGGGAGAAAAAGATGGAGGAGGAGATAATGGGAAATCTCTCATTATTATCTTTTTGGTGGCCTTCTACCCTCCAGTGCACAGAATTCAGAACTTGCACACTCTACAGCCAAATGAACCCATGATTATAAACCTGGATTAGATTATTAATCTGGATACATAAACAGAATTATGACTTCAGAATCATGTACCAGGATGCATTACCACAGAGCTAGGATCAGACCCTGTGGGCAGCATTCCTGCTCCCCCAGCACCCCATGATCCAGCCCCAATCCCCCCCACTGTCCCTCAGCAGTGGCCCAAAGGCATGGGTGGCCCTACAGCTCTGCCCCTGCACCCCTGGGCTGCACAGACCCAGTACATGGCTCAGCCAGGTGGTTTTGCTCAAAACTGGGAACCTCCTCAACCTCTACAACACAAAATTTTGTCCAGGCTTTCTACACATCCTATGGCCCCACGGGTGCAGGAGGTCCTGGCAGCTACTGAGGAAACTGCTGCCTGCCTTGCCTGGAAAACATGCACCAGGCAGGGAGGAAACTGAACTCCTACACAAAAACCTGGTCCATCCATCCATTCCTCCACCCATCCACCTATCCCACCCCTTCATCTGTCCATCTATCCTTCTAGTCCTCTATTCATTCCCGTTCATCTCTCCATCCATCCATCCATCCATCCATCCATCCATCCATCCATCCATCCCTTCATGGTGGAAATGTGTCTTTGGCTCAGTGGCTGGGGCAGTCATTGATCCCCCCTCTTCAATTCCTGCCTGTCTTTGTCCCATGGTCTCAATGTGATCATGGGCAAGTGGCTTAAATCTTTATTTTGACTGTAATTCTGTGTGTGGATGCTTTATTCCAGAGTAAAAGCAGATCCACTTCAAAAATCCTTTTCTAAGATGCAAGTGCCTGCATTTTCTGCCCTGGAGAAAAGCAATCTCTTTGTAATAGAAAAAGCCACTTTTCTTCTATACCAGCAGGGCACAATTCCAGGCACCTTACCCTGCAACATCCACTGCCTTTGGCCCATTCCCAGCTCCCCCCAGGAGAGTGCAGGGATCAATCCCACTGTGGACAGGCAGCAGGATGAGCCCTGGGGGCATCCCCAAGCACCCTGATCTCAGCCAGGGACTCTGGGTCACCCTTCGAGCCACAGGGATAGGACTGCCCAGACCTCACCAGCCAGCTGTGCACAGGCACACAGCTCCTGCCCCCCAGGAACACAGCGTGGACCCATCCTGGAGAGCCCAGGGAGCAGTCAGCTGGGGCTGGCACCCTCAGAACCCCCATCTCCCCCTTGTGTCACTCACATTAAGTTTCCTAGTGACACCGGGACCAGGTGCTGCTGCTGCGGCTGCTGCTGCGGCTGCTGCTGCTGCTGCTGCTGTTGTTGCTGCTGCTGCTGTTGCTGTTGCTGCTGCTGCTGCTGCTGTTGCTGCTGCTGCTGCTGCTGCCAGGCAGAGATGTTGCCAAGGGACAGCCCTCCAGGTGAGCTGAAGGCCGGCAGCGAGGAGAGCTCAGCGCTCGTCAGCTGATAATCTGCAAGGGAGGGAGCCCTGCAGTCACTTCCATGTCAAACCTGCCCCCACAGTGCCCCGAGCTCTCAGGGAGGATGGAGACACACAGGGGACACAAACACTCCACGGATGGGGTGTCAGTGGCACAGGGAGGCTGGCCAGAGGACACAGCTCGTGTGTGTGCATGGCTTGTGCTGGAGTCACAGGACCAATCGGGCTGGAAAAGACCTCTGAGATCCAGTCCAATCCATGACCAAACACTGCCTCAACAAAGGGACATTTAAAGGCCACTGAGTCCAACATGCAGGGACACTTTCCACTATCCCAGGTTGATCCCTGTTCAACCTGGCCTTGGACACCTCCAGCAATGGGGCAGCCAGAGCTTCTCTGGGCAATTTGAGCCAGCACCTCACCACCCTCAATGTAAACCATTTCCTCCTTACATCCACTTGTCTTCCAGCCTCAGGGCACGAGCTGCTGGCAGGACCTCCACCTCCACACCTCCCACCAGTGCCCCTGCCCCCAGGCACAGCAGTGGCCATGATGCAGCCGTGTCTGGCTCCCCCAGGGAGGGCCATGAACACGCGAGAGCCCCAGAGCCCCTCCAGCCAAATGGACAGAGCACAGACACAGCTCCTCCCCTGCTGGAGCAGAGAACCCCGGCAGCTGGCACCCACCTGTACCTGGGGCACCCCTACCTGTGCCTGGGGCACCCCTACCTGTACCTGGGGCATCCCCACCTGTACCTGGGGCACCCCCACTGTGCCTGGGGTATCCCCACCTGTGTCTGGGGCACCCTCATCTGTGCCACCTGTGCCTGGGCATCCCCACCTGTGCTTGGGGCACCCTCACCGTGCCTGGGTACCCCTACCTGTACCTGGGGCACCCCTACCTGTACCTAGGGCATCCCCATCTGTACCTGGGGCACCCTCATCTGTGCCTGTGCATCCCCACCTGTGCCTGGGGCACCCCTACCTGGGCCTGGGCATCCCCACCTGGGCCTGGGCATCCCCACCTGTGCCTGGGGCACCCCTACCTGTACCTGGGGCATCCCCACCTGTACCTGGGGCACCCTCATCTGTGCCACCTGTGCCTGGGCATCCCCACCTGTGCTTGGGGCACCCTCACTGTGCCTGGGTACCCCTACCTGTACCTAGGGCATCCCCACCTGTACCTGGGGCACCCCCACCTGTGCCTGGGGCACCCCTACCTGTACCTGGGCATCCCCACCTGGGCCTGGGCATCCCCACCTGGGCCTGGGGCACCCTCATCTGTACCCAGGCATCCCCACCTGGGCCTGGGGCACCCTCACTGTGCCTGGGCACTCTCACATGTACGTGGGGCACCCTCACTTGTACCTGGGGCATCCCCACCTGTGCCTGGGGCATACCTGGGGCACCCCACGCGCGCCGTGTCCCGGGTGGCAGCAGGGGGCGCTCCCTGCCCGCCATGGGGACACGGAGCTGTCACCGTGTCCCCCCCATCCAGGGCACCCCGCACCCCGGGACCCTCTCCCACACTGTTCCCACCCCATCCAGGGCACCCCGCACCCCGGGACCCCTTTCCCCACACTGTTCCCCCCCCTCCACGGGCCCCCCATGCCCCGGTA